CGCCCCAAAGCGGCACTTCACCGCGCCTGGGGAGTGGCCCCGCCCCCGCTGCCCCCGCTGCCCACGCAGACCCCGACGGGCCGAGGTCCCAGCCGGCGCGCCGGACCCGCGCAGTCTGCCTTTCTAAGGGCGGCGAGTTTTGGGGGTGCACACGCGAGCCTGGGCCTCGTCCGGGGACACGGGCGGGCTGAGCGCGGGCTCGGGAGGGTGGGGGTGGGGCGCGACCGCGCACCCGTCCCCTCTTGGGAGGTTGTTCTGGGGGGCGCCCGGGGCTTGGGGTGAGTCCACGCCCCGGTGTGTGGGACGAAGCCACCCGCCTCGGGGAGCCCGTGCGGCCCGGCCGGCCCACACACTAGTCGGGGAGAGCCACAGCCGACTTCGGGGACCCCTGGGCAGACCCCGTCCCCCACCGGCCGCGAGAGGCGGCCTGTACGCCAAGTCCGTCCCGGCGTGCGGCCTCGGGGTGACCCGGCTGGGGCGCCCTGCCAGGAGGCAGGCAGCGGGCGCCCAGCGTGCGCGCCCCTCTGGGAGTGGAGGCCCCAAGACCGCAGTGGGGGGCCCTGACTGGGCAGGGACCCTGCTCCAAGGTCCGTCAGCAGCACCGGCGGCCGGCCGGGTGGGGTCTCCGTGGCACCAGGACACGGCGCGGCGCCACGAGATGCCGGCCAGGCGACCCCACGCGGGGCCGGGGCCCCCCGCGGCTCGGACCCAGGCGCCTGCGGAGAGGGCGCTGGGCGCTGGTGGCCGAGGGGCCGAGCCCCGCTCCCTCGCTGGGGGCCTCAGGGAAAGAGGGTGACTTCTTCCCGCGAGCGTCACTGCCTGGACGCTCCGGGGCCAGCAAGAAGGGGCAGCGGCGGCCAGGCCCCGGCAGGCCGCTTGTCCGTCTCCAGTTTACCAGCGTGGACACGCTGACGCCAGCGGGTGAGGGGACACGCCCGCGCGGCCCCACGGCGCCTGGCCAGCCCGAGACCAGCGTCCATTAGGTCCACACGACACCGCGTCCACGGGGCGTGGCACAGCCACCCGCGCGTGCAGGGCAAAGCCCAGCAGGAAACGACCGGCCGAGTGGGCGGCGGCGGCCTGGGCCCGTCCTGTCCTGGGTGTCCCGCGCGGCTGGCGCTGCCCAGGGCGGCGACTGTCCGATGAGTTTTCTCAGCCCGCGCTCTGGGGGTGACCGCAGCTCCTGCCCCTTCGGCCCTCTGCGGCGGACGCCCGGGAGGCCAGACGGAGCGGACGGGGGCGGCGACCTC